CGTCCACCGTCACAGCCTGCAGGCCGCGTGGACGAAGCGATCGCGCCCTCTAATCTACTGCGTTCAGTGTGGCGCTTTTGCGGAAGAGCGCATAGGACCTTCATTGGTCAAGCGGTGTGACCGCGCCATCTCGGCCCGGAAGGCCTCTCAGTTTCGGCGGCTCCAGAGTGGGCAGCATCCGCAGCACCGCAGGCACCATGCAAAGGTGGCTCTTGCGTCGGAGGCGGATCTGCGCTTGATAAAGGGGGCGATTGGGTGGGCGGTCGAGTCGGGCGGGACCTCTCCAAACAGCTATTCCGCAGGGTTTATAAGCACCCCTGGGATGGACGCCCTCCGGGCCCGCCTGCAGGCTCGCGAAGCCCAGGCTGCCGAGGAGTGTCGACAGCCTTTGTTCTGGCCTAGGCGTTTGGCCTAGTTTCGTTTTGCTGGTACTGTTTCATCTGTTTGTCGTCCTCCTCCTCCTCCTCCTCCTCCTCCTCCTCCTCCTCCTCCTCCTCCTCATCCTCATCCTCATCCTCATCCTCCTCCTCCTCCTCCTCCTCCTCCACCTCCTCCTCCTCCTCCTCCTCCCTCCTCCTCCTCCTCATCATCATCATCATCATCATCATCATCATCATCATCATCATCATCAGCATCATCATCATCATCATCATCATCATCATCATCATCATCATCATCATCATCATCATTCTCCTCCTCCTCCTGCTCCTCGGGCTCCTGCTCCTGCTCCTCTTCCTCCTCCTTCTCCTTTTTTCTCTCCTCCTCCTCCTCCTCCTCCACCTGCTCTGCAGTGGTGGAGGCAGGCGCACTGCGACCCCCCGATCGGGAGCTTCGGCGTCCAAGCTTTCGCCAGCGAGATGTGGAGCGCGTGCACCACCTGCGCGAGGGCGGGGCAGGAAGAGGGATCAAGGGGGAGGCAGAAGGGAGGGGGAGGTAATTAATGCAAGCAGGGGACCAAAACACACACACGAACGATGCCATACGGGGCAACCCTCTGGCCGCAAAAACTTCGTGGGGGTTCTTGGGAACCTCTTCGGGGCCTTGTGCCTTGTGTAGCCCCTTGGGCACTCGTGGGAGCCTCTGATCCCGACCTTCCCGAATGCCTCCTCCATCGTGGGGGTCGTCGTCCAGGGTCGGCGGCACCAGCCGTAAGGACTTATTATGTTCAACGGGAACATATTCCAATCCCACGAAGCCCCCAGACAACCCAGACAACCTGCGGTGATGCATGATGACCAGACGACCCACTCCAGAACACTCCTTTGGACAACCCCCAGGGATTCAGACAGCCCCACCAGACAGCCCCCCTTGGCCAAGCCTCCCCGGGATTCTCCGCCCATCAGAGATAGCAGCAGTGCACGAGCACGATGCCGCACCTCGCCATCGCTCGGACGTCCGTTCCCCTATTTTTTGCGGTTTCGTGCGTGGCTGTCTCGCCAAAGGAGCAAGGATGCTCCTCGATGGTCCTCGCCGAGAAAAAAATCCACACGTCCGAGCGATGCCAAGATCAGCCTCCGACCTCGGGGGCCCTCTGCGGGCCCCGCGGGGAGGAGCCCGCCCCCAGGGAGCCCCCGGGGGCCCAAAGCGCCCGGAGGAGGAGGAGGGGGAGGAGGAGACGAGGAGGAGGAGGAGGAGGAGGCAGGAGGAGGAGGGGAGGAGGAGAGGAGGAAGGAGGGGAGTAGGTAAAGGCGGAGGAATGAGGAGGAGGAGAGGAGGAGGAGGAGGAGGAGGAGGAGGATGAAGAGGTGGAGGGGAGGGAGGAGGGCAGCACCCTGGACGACGCCCCGCGTCGGCGTGACCCGGCCGCCGCCGACGCGGCCTGCGGCAGAGGGTGGGCACGGCGCGCACTCTGCGGGCCCGCCTCCCGGGGTGGAGGCGAGGGGGAGAGAGGAGGAGGAGGAGGAGGAGGAGGGGGAGGAGGAGGAGGAGGAGGAGGAGGAGGAGGGGGAGGAGGAGGAGGAGGAGGAGGAGGAGGAGGAGGAGAGAGGAGGAGAAGAGAAGAGGGGAGGAGGAGTAGGAGGAGGGAGGAGGAGGGGGAGGAGGAGGAGGAGGAGGAGGAGGAGGAGGAGGAGGAGGAGGAGGGGCAGGGGGAGGGGCGAGAGGGGGATGTGAAGTCGAGTTGGAGAGGGCACGCGAGGGGACACTCCGATGACCACGTGGCCTCTCGACCAGCAGGCACGCATGGCCCGGGGAAGTGCAGCATGCGCGAGGCGCCATGCTCAGGACACGCGGGTGCGTACCCTTGACTTGGATAGATCGACCTACGAACCGAACTCGACTGCAGGGATGGGAGCTGGACGGACCAACGGGCCCCACCACGCTCACCCTTCGGTACCTCCACAATGATCCGTCGCGGCGTTCAAGTCCAAGAACGCAAATCCCACCCGACTCCACGACGAGAGTCGCACGCGCAAATCGACAGCGCTTCTGGAACTACCGTGGTCTGGAACAGGGGTCCAGCCAACGCCTCGTCAGAAGCTCTCGCCGACGTGTCCCCAAATCCGCAGGCCCCGCGAGCGCGCAGATGGCAGCTGCTGAAGCGACCCTGACTTGGCACCCGAACAATAGCTCTGGTCTCGCAGCGGCATGGTGATCCACTGTCGGAACCAGCAACCACCACACGCAGCGCGACGCAGGCACCACGACGGGAAGACATCGGAAGCCGCACCATCTCCTCTTCCAGGGCTCGGCGGAAGGGCGAAACCCACTTGGAGAAGCACTTGGGAAACTCGCGCGGATTTCCTGGGCCGGAGCCAGCCTCCTCTTCCACGACCCACTCCCTCGGCGGTGGACAAGCCTCCCTTCAGCAAACCTCCCCTTAGTGAAGACGGCCTGGGACCGAAACCGACGGACCCGGACCTGCAAAAAATGACGGCCGCGACGCCCTCTCGCGAACCGAAAACGGCCAATTCCTCAATCGACCTGTCAGGGTAGGAGGTCTGTCCACCCACGACAGTGGGCCCGCACCAAAGGCCACTCCTGCGAAAGGGCAACCTTACGTCTGCTCGAGCTTGGACGCCCGAAATGGGTACCGAAAGAATGGGTACAATGCCCAACAGCAAATGTCGGGGAGACGTAAGACCCGGGTACGGGGGACTGGGAAATCCCCGACGAGGTCGTCAACAGAAATGACGAGGCCGAGCCTGCATTTTGACGAGGCCTCCCGCTCTGCAGACATCCCACGAAACTCCTCCTCGTCAAAATCCGAATCGCGGTCGTCAGAAAACGATGGCGAACCCGAGTCCTGGCAAACCCGGGTCTTACGCTCCCCCGAAAATGTTGTCCCAAACCAATTCCTTCATCGACGTGTCAGGGTAGGATCGGGTCGGGCGAAAGGGGGGGATAGCAAAGGGGGGGTTCGAGAACCAGCTCAATCAGCTCACGTAGCTGATTTTCCCGGCGCCTCCCGGCGCCGGGAGGCGCCCATGTATCGAGGAACGGGCCCCTCGGTGAGGCCGAAACCAGCTGCATGCAGCAAATTTCGTACCCCCCCCTTTCCCAATCCCCCCCTTTCGCCCGGCCCGATAGGAGGTCTGTCCACGCCCCGCCTCCCGGCGCGCGGAGCGAGGCCGGGGGGCGGCGCAGGAGGCGCCCCCGCGAGCGGGGGGGGTGAGGGAGGCTCGGGGCGGCGAGCGAGGGGGAAGCGAGAAGGAGAAGGCCTTCTCAGAATCGGGAGCGGCCAAGATGAAGGGAAACTGGGACACACAAATAAATACACACAAATAAAAAGATTCCCCATATTTTCCCATATTTTCTCGGTTTCTGTCTTCCCCACCACTTCCCATATTTTCCCATATTTTCCTGGGAGTCGACGATTAATTGTGTCTGTGTGTTTCTTCCCCTCCTGAAAGAGGGGGGGTGCAAATCATGACCGGCGGCATGTGCGCGGCCCAGCCGGGGGGCCAGGGACGTCATGGAATAAGAAGAGACGCCATCAACTCTGGGGAAATATCATGGCCCCCGCCATGATATCCACCCACCCCTAGTCATCACCCCCCTCTTTTCCGCCCCCGACAAAGGCGGCGGGGCTTCTCAGAAACCCCGTCGCCCGGGAGGAGTTGGAAACCTTCTCAGAAGTCCGGGGGACTTCCTGGCCCTCCGAAAGGCCCGTAAGAAGAAGCCAGCACGAGGATAAAATCTGGCGAGGATAGATCGAGAATCTCTGAGATCCAGCGCAGAGCGTTCCAGAATACTCTGAGCGCGTTCCTGAACGCTCTGGAAGGATCTATCCTCGTCCTACGTAGCACCGCCCGAACCCGCCCCTTCTCACTTCCCCCTGGGTTCGCCGCTGAGAGGCGGGGTTCAGCGCCGACCCAAAACCCGCGAGGACCTGCGACATATTACGCTCTTGTATCAGCCTTCGCCAGTCGTCCCCTGTCGGCGCGAAGGGTGGGAGGAGCCAGCTACACACCTCCTCCTCCTCTCCTCCCTCCTCTTCTCTCCTCTTCCTCCTCCTCTTCCTCCTCCTCCTCCTGCTCCTCCTGATGCTCCTCCTGCTCCTGCTCCTCCTCCTCCTCCTCCTCCTCCTCATCCTCCTTCTTCCTCCTCCTCCTCCTCCTCCTCCTCCTCCGCCTCCTCCTCCTCCTCTCCCTCCTCTCCGTCCATTCTTCCGTCCTGCTCCTCCTGCTCCCCTGCTCCTCCTCCTCCTCCTCGTCCTCCTCCTCCTCCTCTCTCCTCCTCCTCCTCCGCCATCTCTTCCTTCTCCTCCTCCCCTCCTCCTCCTCCTCCTCCCTCCTCCGCCTCTCCTCACGCCTCCTCCTCCTCGTCCTCCTCGTCCTCCTCGTCCTCCTCCTCCTCCTCCTCCTCCTCCTCCTCCTTCCCCCTGCTCCTCCTGCGTTTGGTAACGTGCCGCTGGCCCTGGTCCCAATCCTCTAAGCCTCAATCCTCACTGCTGAGGAGATTTCAACGGGCCCGGACCTCTCGCTATCAAATCTCTTAGGGCTCCCTGCGGTTCTCCTGGGCTCCCCCGAGTGTCCCCGCATGAAGATGTCGGGCCCAAGAGGGACCCAAGACGGGCACAGACGGCCCCAAGAAGCCCCCAAGACGGTTCAAAAGGGCCCCGAGTCGCCGAAAGATCGCTCCAACACGCTCAACATGGCCCCCTGACGGCGCAAGAGGCCTACACCGAAGATATTGATTTTTGAATGTTCCCGAAGGATTTGGGCATTCTCTCCTTCTCGGCTTCCACCGGCGCTCCCAGACGACCTAGTCCCCCAAGACCGTCCCAAGACAGCCTTAGAGGCCTCCAAGAGGGCCCCAAAACGGCCCAAGAGGGCCCCAAGACAGCCCAAGAGGCGCCCAGAACGGCCCAGAGGGCCCGAGACGGCCCAAAAAAGAAAAGCCTGAAAGAGGGAACACAAACCGAAAATCCAATCCTTCCGCCCCAAGAGGCCCCCAGAAGCCCCAAGAGGCGCCCAGGAGGCCCCAAGAGGCCCCCAAGAGGCCCCAAGAGGCCCCGAAAGAGGCTCCAAAAGGCCACCCCCCATACGGCCCCCAAGAGGCTTCCAAACTGCCTCCAAGCGGTCCCCGAGAAGCCCCCGATACCAACGAACATCAAATATGCTTTATACAATCCAGGCACGGTGGCGGGA